ACGAAGGTATGCTAAGAAGGCGGGAGAAATACCTTATAGGCTCAAGACTAAGGAATGATCTGAGTTCCAATAAATGTGTGAAAAAGTTCTAAAACAAATTTCAGTTAGAACGAGCAGAGGCAACTAAGAAAAAAGTATTAAATTTGTATGAGCATTAGCAGTATAATTACAGAATTAGAAGAAAGTGTAATAGTTTTACAGTATTCTAACGAAATACACAATTCTTTAGACATTAAGAGTAATTCAAAAACAGATATTGAATTGCTGGAAAGAATAGTTAGTATAACAGAAGATTAATCTGGTAAGTCAGTTAAAACCAAAATTACCGAAACATTTTTTTTTTTTTTTTTTTTTTTTTTTTTTTTTTTTAACATCGATAAAAAATACTTACAAATTCGTCAAATTGGCGTTATTGGTAGTTTTATTGTTAAGATTGTAACTGTTTTTAAATTTACTTAAACTTTTTTTAAGAAAATATGTTGTTACCTATACCTGTCAATTTGACGGGTGTCCGCAAATATAGATGCATGAAAATGCCCATAATTCTAACATTTTTCAAGGTACAGTATGCAAGGATTACCTGCCGAAAGAGGAATAGCTTCAAAGAGGACCTTTTAATCAAATCTAGCCCGTACTCATCACATAAAAATGAAAGGATTCTTCGAAAAACGATACTTTCGGGAAAGAAATTAAGTCCTTCATATGAGAAATGCGGAAATATTCTTCTCTCAAACGCTAATCCTTTTTGGCATACAATATACACAAGAAACAAACTCATTTAGTATGCAAAGAAAATAGTATTCAAGTTGAGCGAGATCATCGCAGATTCTTCAAAATGAATGCCCTTCGACCCTTTCTTATAATTTACACCAGGTGATAAATCTGAAGCTTGAGAAAAACGATAGAAAACGAGTTTGGTTTTTATGAGAAAACGTATTGAGTTGTTCAGGGAAGAATCATGCGCGAGTTAAAAACCGGAGCAAAATACATTATTTTTCTATGTAAATGAAACAGATATTAAAGGTGATAAAAGAAATGCAAGAGGAAATGCCTTTGAGAGTATGGGGTAAAAGAATCTTTGTCAATTACCAAAAACCAGGTGGAGTTGACCTTTCTGACTCGTAAGTGTGAAAAGTGAACCAGAGAATAGATAGGTCACCTAATCCTACCATTCCTTAAATTCAGCTTCGCAATCTATTTGAGCTCGTGCCTCATTACTCTGGACATTATCTATACTCTAGATGCGCTATATAGAGCATCCAGTGATAAATCGTGTTCCAGCTAACACTAAGGTGAGGGAGAAGAAAAATTAATTCCAGTTCCAAATACCTCAGTTCAAAACATTTTAACACACCATATTTCACGTAAGAAATAAACAATTCAGGCAACTTTTTATCTGTACAAGATCGTAACTAAGTATCTTTTACTCATTTTCAAGATATTTGATTTATTTACGTAAGATGAAATAACGTATTATAGAATCTCCGTGTACTCTTTGGGAGCATACACTCTTAAACTCTATGTTGAAGACTAAATAGCCAATTTTCGCTATGTCTTTAAGGATAAATACTGCAGATGAAAGGTTTAAATAACCTTTTTATTTAAATCTAGATTAAAACAGATGCACGCACTTCGTGCTCACAAATCACCACCACTTGTGGCTACGTAACAGAAAATAAGAATGTAGCAATTCAATAGTAACATAATGATTGGCTCCTTAGCTTAACTAATGCTAAATCGACAGCACATAGCAAAACCGAGCCGAAAAATATCAGTATAAAACGAAAGGTGTCGAACACCGAACTAGAGAGCTAATTTTAAACTCGCAGCATAGACAACGGAACTAAGTCCGCTACTACTCTTTTGAACTCTTGAAACGCAGCTTAAATACTGCTTCTGAAACACGTTTAAATTTTACATCTACGTCATACAAAATTGACATTCCAGCAGGAAACTGAAATCAGGAGAAACAGGAAAGTCAAACTAAAAATAACTGATTAGAATAAAGTAAAACCTAAGATTATATTTTATTCATATTTTAAAATTTATATAACAAAACCCTTTAATGAAAAACGTTTCCGTTAGTGCACTCTTCGAAAGAATTGTATCGCAAATAATTAAAATTTATGTAACATTTACTCATCTGTTTTGAAAGCAATGTAATGACTCAACAGCCAATATTAAATTCAATATAAATAGTTCAACACCAATTTCAACAAAGCTGCATTAGTTAAAAGCATTTATCTACTTAATGTTCAAGAAAATATATAACTTAAAATACATTCATAAGTCTAACCTAACTTGTAGCCTCTCTAAATTAATTTGTAATGTAAATTGCAATAATTTCCTTTAATTAGAAATAATTCTGAGTAACAGAGCATTTTAGGAACAGCAGTGTAATAAATTACAATGGCAAATTTAAAAAAATTTTCTTCAAGCTCTTTCTGTATCTTCACTGTCAAAGTTTATGCACAATCTAATAATAATTAATAATAATTATTTATAATAATAATAATAATAATAATTAGTTATAATATTATTCGTTGTCTTGTTATTAAATTCAGCTCCCACAAGAGACCTATTCTGTTTTCAACGTTAATAGTAACTTATTTTTCTTATTAGTTACATATGCTCAGAGTGTATAGTGATGTTTCTCAAAGAATTAAGCAAATTAATGAACACACATGATTCAATTTCACGCAAGAAAATTTGAACATCTGAAAGACACACAAATAATCAGAAAAGAATTATAAAAGCATCATGAATATTATAAAACGCTTATGAAATGAAAACATATTCGTTTTTGCTTACTCTCCTATTTCTTTTCTGGTGGAGCAAAAATAATAATAATTCGCTCCTTTAAAAGACGCCGAAACCGATATAATATACCTACGCGAATTTTACTTTTTTCTTTAATTTTTATGCTAAGCAAACAACAACTGAAATATTTATTAACTAAAATATTTTTTTTAATTTTGATATTAAAATTACAGCCAACTGTCATACTAACAGAATCATACTTCATTTTAACCGAATTTCTATCCCTCCCCCAATCCCTTGGACTCAAAAGTTTAACAATAAGCAGGCTTTCTGATACGAGAAAAACGACCTTGCAGCATCCTAGAACTCGTGCTGCCATCTATGGGCATTAAAACGAAACTTTATCAATTCGGGCACGGATAAGCATCGTACAAATATCATTTGTACGTTTTGGTGAGGTCTCTAAATTAAAGATTAGGAAAAATTTACAAATTTATTTTTAAAATATATTTTTCCTTTTACGTGATTTGAAACAAATTATAAGGTATAATGATTACGAGTGAAAATGTTCTTGTTCTCATAACCAAAAATTTCTGTTATAACACCGCATAAATATTTTGTGTATTATTAATCTTCCAGTAATTAACAGTAAATGTTACTTATTTTAAAAAGTTCATTCTAACTATAAAATAAGCCGTTCATCAATTTTAACATTAAACACCTTATTTGAAGAGATAGGTTTATGTTAGATGATCAGATCAGATATTTAATATGGGAGTTTAATCAGACTTAAATATTGAATTAGGTATTTAATAGTAGAATTTAAACTAAATATTTAAACGAGATTAGTTTTTCTCAAAAAAATGAATTTTAATCTTACTGTAATATAAATTCATACCAGATTAGTAAAAAAAGGAAAGAACCGTATAATAATAATAATATTAATAATGACCTAATTTGGAACAACACTAAAATCTAGAAATTTAGATGACAAGTTTTAGAATTTAAAAACGAATTCAAAGGCATGATGTGCATCAAACTATGCACAAGATTTGGAACACCCATTCCCAATGATTTAAAAGCTCCTAGATATCTGAAGGAAGAAATAAATGAGTTACACTTAAAAAAAAAAATAAATAAATAACCATACAGCTGTGCCCCAAAAGTAGGAAGTAATTCGCTTCTATATCAATGACGGATGCTAAAATTAACTGTAATCTTAAACAGCATTTTTAAAAAATGCATTCATAAATAATGATTCTAAAAACAAACAGTGTGAAGTTATACAGTTTCCATTAGAAGAGAAAGACATTTATAATCAAAAACTTAACCAGCAATGTTTTTCGGTATCTTAGCAAGTGTGTCAAATGCAAACTATTTCTCTTATACGGCGCAACGTTTATTTGACTGAACACTGAAATTTTTACTTTGCAATATTATTTTTGCATGATTTGATGACACTCTTCAGAAATAAAAATTCAAAAAATTTTCAAAATATCAGCAAAATCAAAGATTTAACGTTTTGCAATGCTTTAAAAATATTTCTTATTGAACTATGTATGTAAACACACATAATTATCTAACTGCATAATAATTTCCTTTCAACATTTCTACTTCTGTTAGAGGAATTAGAGATGGCTTTGTAGGAAGAATGGCTTCACATTCCCTTAATATGCAAGACCTCTCCACATTGCATACAATGTGTACTTCAGTTAAAGGATTGTCCAATTCTCCATTAATAAAGATTTTTCTCGTATTGCGCAGGGGTACGTATTATTTTGTACCCCATCTGTACAGCAACAACTGAAATAATTTTAAAAATTGGCAATAACTTTCATGCATTTTTACGTATTTGTTAAAGTTTTTCAAGAAGCACATAAAAAGGGATTACATGGGATTATAATATACATGGAAATCATGCTAATCCATATCTTGAGGTGAATATATGCCTGTGATTAAATTAAATTAAAATGCTTCAAACAAGTTTTAAAATAACAACCACGTTTATTTAAAGCACTTAAGCCTATATTTGACAGCTACAGTTAATGAATATCCTGTTGACTCGAATCATTTTATTTCTATCCTGTTACCTTACTATTTTAATTTTTATCTAAATCATTCATAAAATGTGCTTCACAAAAACATTCATTGATTTATGCAAAAGCATTAGACAACAAAAATTATTTAGGCTACATAAACTGATTTTTGTTTAATCGAGAAAAGTACAGCATAATTTATAGTCAGCAATTTAACTTACCGATATCAATCAAAATCGAATGCTGATGAGAAGTTAGTTGTTTCAGAAGGTCTTCGTAAGGAATAGACAGATCTATGTCAGTCTGAACTTTATGATCCCATATTTTCCGGTGCTGCTCTGCAAGAAACTGCCATATCTCTCCTCTTTTATGACGAGGCACTCCTAAAAGTAATTATAATATACATCAAATGAATAAGAAAGCGATAATATCATGCAACTAGGATTGTATACACAATACTGTCTAAATCCTAGTTACCTCATTTTTTATCTAAACAACCTTAGTTTATATATAACAAATGACAACAAAATCTAATCAAAATTAAAGTTTTTATTAAGGTCAGTCAAATCGCTCAAATAAGTCATGTAGAATAACTTTTAGATTATCCATAAAAATAATAATAATAAAAGAGCCAGTCTGCCTATGGAGTGCGCGTGGTGCATGGTACTAAGCTCGAAAGGTCCACAACAGCTGGGGAGTATGGCCTGCAGCTTCTTTATGAAGACTGTGTCTGTGCTGGAAGCAAGTTTTTGAGACTTCAATTTCGATTTTTTTTTTTATTTAACACTGATGGAAGTGATATTTTTCCCATGGAATATTTTTTGACACATATTCTCACTTAACAGTTAAAACTAATCATCGAAGAACTTCAATCTCTGCACCACCTTTAAGATCCGAAAATAATCTTTCACGAAAAGATTATTCAAAATTTCAAATATAATTTAAGCACGCTTTTGTTGTCATTACATCTACATTTTAATCATTATCTCTCCAATACTTTTTATACTTTGACACTGGAAACTAATTTTAAAAAAAAGTAATCTAAAAAAGGAAAAAAAAAAAAAAAGCGATCTTTCGCCCAAACTCATCGAAATTTTCGTTACAAAAGCAAACTTTCGCACTCTTTCAGAAGCAAAATGATTAAAAAAATATACTTCATAAGCGATTTCTTAAGTCTCTCTTTAAGGAAAAAAAAAATACTACATCACAGTACGATTCATGTCTCCGGCACTGTGGGAAGTAAATATTAACAAATTCCCCCCCCCATAAGTTATAAGCATCATACTTGCATTCACCTTACAGAAGAAGGGTAACCTTACATGCACTTGATCTCGCGCCCAAATACTTAGAGAATTTTAAATCCCTCCGAGCACACTTCGTCTACGAAATCTTAATTTTTTTCTTTCATTTTCAGCGATTAGCTGCTATGTAAGACTGCGCTATCAACAATGAAAATTTAGACACTTTCCTACTTAAGCATAATACAAATAAAAAATAACAGCTTTCAGGTTTTTCTATCAAACACGGCTGCTTTTCTGAACTTTGCATGGACGCCAGACAATACATGCCAAACGGAATTACATATTTCACTGATTGGCCTGTTTCCCTCTGCCCCTTATACCACTCCCGACTTGAAACGGAAAGCTTGGAGCTTGGAGCGACTTGAAACGGAAAGCTTGGAGCAAATGGGGCATACCCCATGCCCCATTTGATGACACAGCGAAGTCTCGTATCTTAGCAATGTTTGTCACTTGTAACAGTTATACCACAGTGTTAATGATCTCTCATTAATCAAGACTTCGCTTGAAAACGACAAGACGTCAACTATATTAGTGTGCAAACATTAAGGACGTAGTGAGAAATTAATAGCAGAAAGACCAAGAGACTCTCTAGATTGCGGTATGGTATGACATGTGAATATACGTAACATCACGCTCTGTAGAAATGTGCGAAGGACATAAAGCATAAGGTCGGCGTACGCTCTGCATTTCAGAGGATGCTGAGGCACGTCATTGACAATGCGTAGGATTAGCGGACTCCTTACCGGCACATGATCCATACGGCTACTAAGAAAAAAGTTCCGATCTTTAAAACGAAGTTGATTCATACTGGTATCGATTCCATGTCAGTTTCGATCTTATGCAAGTAACCTGAAAATAATAATTCTGCCAAATTCTTTCCATCTTTACCAGATGTCGTTGCTAAGTATAAGCCTTGTCTACGCTTTGCTAATGTCGATTTTATGGTGGGATAAGCACCATCTATTGCATCCTATTGTCCTATGCACGTTTCTATCTTATGGGGATATAGATAATATGCTCTGTTGATCTTATACCGGTGACGATCCTATCCTGTGTCGTCGTTACCCAAGTGCTTTTCTAAGCACAGTCGGTCTTATGCCTGGCGATAGTATACTGGTGTCACCCTATGCAGGGCTGATCGTAACTCTGTGCAGATGCCAAAATGTGCATTAAACGTCTGATTCATTCTTTTAATCACTATGAAAATTTCTTTTTGGTATATCAGTCTTACTGATGTAGATTCTAAGCCATGCCGGCGCTATGCAGTGTCTACTGTAGCTATTGTAGATCTTATAAACGTAAGCCGTCATAAGAAACTGCCGTAATCGAATCGTGGTCAGTGAAACTGGCTGCTGCATCATTGGTCGCCGCTCGAATCCGGAGAAGGTTTGGCTGTTTGTAAAGGATGAGTGACTACGTGGCTTAGGGGCAATTAAAATAATTGACAGCCGAAAGTCTTCTCGAAAGGTTTATTATAGATGAGGCATGGAAGACCTTCGGACCCACCTCCCGGGAGGTTTTCCATCAAAACTGGAATTGAGTTATACAGTTTAAGCGGTGAAACTATATCCGTAAAACCACTGGAGACGTTCTGGTGTTCCGCCCAGTTTTTCCTGTCTTGTCCTGCCATAAAGCCATCAGCGTTACATTGAAAAAGAAGTGGTTTGCACCAGAGCCGTGCCTATATAATTTTTCACTTAAGAGAAAGAGGTAAATGTGTGCCCCTATACACATCTGGCAATTTAAAAAAAAATAGTAATGCATTAATTTGTTGTAAAATTTTTTAAACTGCATATTATTTTGAGATTCAATTTGGATTAGAAGTTAAAGAAAAACCAAAATAGGAAATGAAACAAGGTTTGTATCATGAGTAGAGTGCATTATGATTCGTCTCCTTCTTATTTTAAAGTGAAAAACAATTTCGCATTTATCGAAAATCCGTAGAGATAATTTTTGAGAAGGTCGATCATTGGTAGCATTGACATCAGAAAATACTGAGCGTGTCTAGAATGAAATATTGACTGACAGGGTATTAAACATTAGTGAAACAGCAGCAATATTGGATCAATCTAAATCTGTTTCGCGGAATTCCCAAGAACACTTCACATAATCAAAGTCTCTGCAAGATGGTTACTCTGACTTCTTTCAGCAACTAGCAACGTGTTAATGCTATTCAGAAGCAATGCGGGTTTAAGAAGCTTGACTGCGTCTAACAGCCTAGTTCAAGTAATTATTAGATGTTCTCTAAACTAAAATATGACCTTCGTGGAAAGAGATTTAATGATGATGATGTGGTGAAAAAAGGATTATGGAACGTTTTAAGGACAAACCTTCAGATTACTTTTATAGGGGCAAAATAGCTGCACATTAAACGACGTGAAAACTCTGTCGAAGTACAGAGAAGTCATACTAAAAAATATGCTGCTAAAAGTTTTTTTTTTTTTTTTTAACAATATATCAGACCGAAGCTCCTTTGGATCTACCTGCGTATATTTACCGTGTTCTCTTCGAAAATGCTTTCAAAAACATGATCGGGAGATGAGTTGTTTGCAGAAAATTCTGTTGTCGATCCACAATAACCAATCTAATCGTTTGGAGATTTTCTTTCAAAATTTACGAATATATATATTCCAATATCCCTCCCATTTTTATTGTAATCGACTTTTTTTTATTTCTTTGGTACTCATACTAAACAATTCATTTCATAGTTCCAATTATAAACAATAGAACAACTCAAAAAGAGAGAGAGAGAGAAATTATGTCTTTCCTTATACGCCGAAGAGCCATTACATTATGACCACCCTGTTAATAACATGTAGGACTACCTTTACCCCTCAAAACTGCCAGCAACCGGCGTGGCATTGACTCCCCGAGGTGCTGATAGGTAGTCTAAGGTATCTGGTACCAAGCGCTCACCAACTGTCTTGCAAATTCCACACATTGCGCGGTGGTAGCGTGCAGGCGAGAATTTGGTTGTCCAAGTGGGACTACAAATGCTCTATTGGATCAATGTCAGGTGAATTTGGAGGCCAAGACATGACTTGAAAGTCATTGGAATGTTCCTCGTACTACTTCCTGACGATTCGACCCTTATGACATGGTGCATTATCCTGTTGGTAAACACCATCCCCCACCGGAAATACTGTTGACATGAATGGGTAAGCCTGGTTTAAAACGATTTTCACGTGGCGCACAGACGTCAGGGACTGTTCTATGGGGATTATGGGTCCTAATGTGCTCCATGAAAACATTGCTCACACCACATACCCCCGCCAACGGCTTGTCTCCATCCAACTGTGCATCCGGAAGCCAGGGTTTCGTTTGGAAATTGGCATATTAGCACACGCGCGTCGATGTGATGGACCAGAAAACGTGATTCGTCGGATCATGCAACTTTCTTTCAATGTCCAATTCCAATGTTTCTTGGCTCACTGCAGACGCAGCTAACGATTACGTGCAGTCAGTGCAGGGACATGCTTAGGCCTCCGGCTGCGTAGGTTCTATACGCAGCAACGTACGCTGCAAAGTGTTTTGAGAAACACTGTATGGGTCTCCAGTGTTGTAGTTGGTGATGATTTCGGCTGTTGTAGCTCTTCGGTCGCGGCGAACAATATGTAGCAATCTTCTCTCTCCTCTGGAATCATGCGCCGTCGACGACAACTGGCCGGCGATTTGTCGTTTCACCATCCACACACGACTTTCGATATGTGCTCACAACAACTGCACGTGAACATTCCACTAAAAGTGCCGTTTCTGATATTGATGTTCCCATCCGCCCAGCCATAACGATTTGGCCTTTATCGAGGTCTTACAAATCAGCTGCTTTTCCCATTATGTCGCTAATCGCGCTATGTTTGTAAAGGCAATGAATAGCCGCTTTATATATTCCAACATCAGCCGCGTACGCGCAATGGTTTTGTTCCTGGGCGAGCCCATTGTTATAATTCGAGGGTGGTCGTAATGTAATGGCTTTTCGTTGCATATTTACATGCCAATCTTTCATAGAATGAGGCTGATTAATGTGTATATGCAGTTAAACCTACACAGCAATATGTGTAACTGCTCTAGAAAGAACCTCAAAT